GGCATTCATTTCGTCATGGTAATCACCTCCTTTCTTAGAGACGAAAATCAAGTCACACTCTTCTAAAAAGCTACTATCGCTGAGATGATGAGTTACGATCAATCTTTGACCTTTCCCTTACGGTCCACGAAGACCTGTTGACAAACCTTCAATGCTTGCTTGTCGGTTACTCACTACGTTTTTGTCTATCCAGGTTTTTTTAACTGTGTGACCTGCATATACCCATGTCTCGTCCAAATAATAGATTTTTCTGCTTTGTCGCCTATATTCAATCATTTCGCGTAGGTATTTTCGACGCCAGGCGACTATTTCAGGTCTCTCTATCAATACTGACTTCCGATTACGGGTTTCGTAACGAAAATTAATTTCGTGCAGGGATTTCCTCATTACCTCGACGCTCATTTTTGGTATAATTTCATTTTCCTTAATCGCTGCATGTACAGCCTTGAGGGTTGGTATCTCATTCCTAAAGAAGAATGAATGTACGGTTCGCCTTAACGCCATTTTGCTATCGTCATCCAATTTAACGGCCTTTCGTCCCTTCAAATTAAACTTTGGATTAGTAGTAGCTCCAGTTTTCTTCTTTTCATGCACCACCCTGCGAATGGTCCACTATGGAACGCCTGTCATACTTTCACAACGCGCGAGTGCATCTCCCTGCGACATAGTTCTGTTCAGATAATTGAACACGTTGAGCACGATTTCTTTCGCGTCCCTCTTCAGTGCTTTACGAAGCCGTCTACTTGTTCCCTGGCTTTCAGTACTTCCACTCGTGCCATTTGTACTCTCCATGGTTAAGTATAACCAAAACAGTAACCACAGAAACCACAACAATAACAATCACACAACAATTCTTATAAAAACACACAATATGCGATCGCTCAACGAAACACGTTCCAATGCGTTGCCGACGCCTATGAATCTGCCAGTCGAGGCGCGTCTTTGATTTCATTGGTTCTACCGGTGGAGAACAATCAGCCATTATTTCCATCTCTGTCTGTGCTGTTGACCACCGCAAAGCCACAGAAACGACATATGTCGTACGCTATACGGCTGTACTGGAAGGAAGCCGGGATCGAGCTCTGATAACGTGTTGATCACGCGTATGAGTCATTACAGTTTTAAATAGTTGTAGTATAGCAAGCAAAGGGAATTCTGAATAACCAATAATATCCTGTGAGTCATAAAAAACTACGAAAGACCCGCCTACACGCCATACAGAGGTAGAGAGCGTCCGTAGAATATTCGGCAAACGATAACCGTATTGGTTGACCAATCAGCGTCAGACATTTTTTGTGGTGCTATTTCTGTTTACTGATAAGAGCGTTCCAACGAGTTTTTCGTCCTTTGCGAGAGAAGTGGGCAGAAATAAATTCCTCGATTTATATTGGTCGATGGATGTTTCTGATTCATTTCTTTTCACATCTTGCAGCTGTATTCTGCAAACTATCATCGAATTGGTTACCAATCAACCGTTTCTGTGGGGCTAATTCTTCCTACTGATAAGAACACTGGAAAGAATTCGCTTGGACCAGCCGATTTTTATTTCGAGGGAGAAATCTTTTGCACTTATTCAGTGTTGCAAAAAATCACAATTTTTTGGAAAAATAAAAAAATCCGATTTTTTTTAGAAAATAAAAAATTTGTCTTTTTCGAAAAAATTAGAAAATCCGATTTTTTTTATTAAATCGTGGGTTCTTTAATTTACTGGACAACAAATTTTAGTTTTTTAATTGTATCTTGTGGGACAAGTGCACTTCTTTGTTAATTTTGGGGCGCTGAATCCAAAAATGACAATGAAATAAAAAAATTAGTTGCGGTTTAGAAAAAAAAAATTATTTTTAAGGATATATTAAAAAAAGTAACAAGATTCATATACTTATAAGAATCACCATATGCGCTGTCTTTCTGCTGTTCTTTTATGGATCGTTTCTGGAGCATCTCTACCAAGAGTCCAACAGTAGTCTGCAAGCATGGAAGGATTCCACTTTCCCTGGTACCTTTTTTCCATTGTTGAAATATCCTGATGAAAACGTTCGCCGTGCTCATCAGTTACGGCTCCGCAATTGTCAGGAAAAAAGTCCAGGTGTGAGTGTAGGAAATGTATCTTAAGAGACATATTACAGCCCATCTTTTGATACGATGACAGCATATTTTTGACAAGGGTTTTATAGTTGTCAGCTTTTCTATTTCCCAAGAAATTAGTGACCACCAGACGGAAATCATTCCAAGCAGTTTTTTCAATACCTGTTAAAGTGTTTTCAAACTGTGTATCTTTCAAAATATTTCGAATCGTTGGCCCAACAAAAATACCTTCTTTAACCTTTGCCTCACTTAGTCTTGGAAATTTCTGACGCAGGTATTGAAAAGCTGACCCATCTCTATCTAATGCCTTGACAAAGTTTTTCATTAGGCCCAACTTGATATGCAGTGGTGGTAATAAAATTTTTTTCGAATCTACTAATGGCATATGCTGTACATTTTTTTGACCTGGCTCTAGGAATTGACGAACAGGCCAGTTTTGTCTGGTGTAATGAAGTGCCTTTGCCCGACTGTTCCATTCACACAAAAAACAGCAAAACTTTGTGTAGCCTAGCTGCAGCCCAAGTAAAAGTGCAACAACTTTCAAATGTCCACAAATATGCCATTGTTGCTCATCGTATTTTATGCATGTCAATAGGTACTTCATATTGTCATATGATTCTTTCATGTGAACTACATACCCTACAAGAAGAAATGGTAAAATATTTCCAATATGCAATAACACTGCATTTAAACTCAATGTTGAACTGTCTATAAACAATCTCCATTCTTCTGGGTTATAGTTTATATTTGAAGCCGCCAGTAAGCCGTTAATGTTACTGCAGAAAACCAAGTTATTCTCCATATTGAAAAATGGTACTAAGTCTTTGTGGCATTTACGAAAAACACATATCGAAACATCGTCTTCTAACAAGTTCCACTGCTGCAGTCTTGATCCAAGTAACTCTGCCTTACATTTTGGAAGTTCTAAATCTCTTACAATATCATTTAATTCTGACTGTGTTATTTTGTGCGGTTGGTGGCATGACGTGCTCGGTATAAAATCAGGATCTCTTGACGTTGATGGCATATCTTCTTCCTGACGAATCACTCGATCGCCATGATCTGATTCATTTTCTGATTCGCAAGTGTAGGATTCTGGGGGTTTTGGAATAGGATTTTCGTCACTGTGAGGCACAGGTCTCATCGCAGATGGTATGTTTGGGTAGTTATTAACCGATTTTTTTTTCTTGGACATACCTGTGGCTTGTCCAACACAAGGTACCATGCAAAAGTAACAATCATTAATAGGCTCTCTCCAAACCATTGGGACAGCAAAGCGCATAGACCGTTTTTTGCCATTTAACCAGCTCCTCAGACTTGAAGCACATGTATTACATCAGATGTGGGGTGCCCACTGTTTGTCTTGATCACCTAGTTTACAACCGAAATAAAGCTGATATGCCTTTGTTATTAGTGGAGTAATAGACCGTCTCTGAGACGCAAAAGTCACATCACCACACACGTAATAAAACTGATCTGGATTGTTTACACACTTTCGAGACATCCTGCATGAGCGCTGTCAGCAAACTGAGGAAAAAATGGCTAATATAGAACAATATAATATAAATATATAATAATAATAATATAAAAATGTAGCACGTGCATTCTTGAGAATTACAGTATATTAACACTGTCACAGCAGGAACACATATAATTACCGTATCTCTAAAACTTGAGCTAATATTGAAAAAATAAGTTTCATTCCGGTTTTAGCACATTAAAAATAGTAATATTTTGATGATTTTATTTAGGATATTTTTTGGCTGTTGATCAGTGTTATTAACAGTTTGTAGATACTTATTTTATTCCTAAATAATGACGTTTGAAATAACTTATTGAAATACTATTACGTGTGTGGAAGGAATTTCAAACTAAATAAATTTCCTTCTTTAAAAAAGTATTCCTTTTGAAATTTGGAATTGGTTTGAAAATATGGAGTAAAACCCGGGGGGAGGGGCAGTTATGATTTTCAACCCTCCACGCAAAAATTACCAATCAGATGATTTCATTTGAATACGGGTTTGGTCTGAATCTGGGTAGGTATTTAACGCCTAATTAATTTAAGTATCAACACGAGATTCACTTGAAGGTCAAGGTTTTTTATTTGTTCAGCAAATAACTTGTTGGTATGCCTTCTACCCTAGGAATATTGCCACTGTTTTTTATTCTTTTAAAATTCGCATGTCCCATTTTTTTACATTTTATTGTGCATGTTTTCTTCAATCTAATAGCATAACTCTAAAATTATATGTGAATATACGACTTTAATGGAATAATAAAGCAGGTGATTACTTTTAACTTAATCACTTTTCTCTTTGAAAAATATTCGATTTTCTTGCAACCGCAAATTGAGTTTGCACCAAAAATAAAGATTGTTTGAAAAAAGTGATGAGGAAACAAGTAATCACCCACTCTATTCTTCCATAATAGTGGAATATGTATCCACATATGGCTTTAGAGCTGTTAACAAGTTTGAAGAAAAAATGCATAATAAACGTACAAAAATGCATTTTTTAAAAAAACGGTTAACATTGTTTTTCAGTCATCTCTATACACACCATGGAGCCATCAGGTGAAAAGTATAAAGAATACTTCTGCAGACAGTCTGTTGAGAAAAATAAACATGCGACGTTAATTCTTTATAGGCCGTATGAGTCACTTTGTACTTTTATTTGAAAAAGTATAAATGCGTATAAACAATAAAAATTTCGAAAAATTCACTATTCCCTGGCGGAATTTCGGATAACTGCACCAGTCCATGAGCTATCAAAGGATCACTGTAGTTATTAATGCATCTGTCTATACCGCTTTGGATTTTACACTGTGTGTATGAATTAAACATATGTAGGAAAATGTCCGTTATCATTTATCTATGGAGCAATAACTTTGTTATCTGAACCATTGTTTCAAATCAAATCGCAACATGTTATGTGGAGGTACGTTGCCACCTGTCGGAATTAGATGTATTATTAAAAACTATGGTTCGTTAAAAGAATGCTCTATTACGATACCTCTGGTTCTGATCTATAATTCATGATAGGTAAGTGTTTATTTTAACAATTCTTCCGTAAATAAATTTGTGCTTGTAACCATAATAATGGATAATGTAACATCTGAAACTTAGCTGTGGTTTGCATGTCGATAATCCCCTATGATTGTTTGGCCAATAAAACCTTATACAGGGTGTCCCAGAAGTCGACGTCAAGCCGAAACCAGATGATAGGCAAAGTCATAACAGCTATCAGAAAAATATTTAAAAAAATTTTATGTATGTGTTTTGAAAATTATAGGTCTTTGAAAAAGATATAGAAATTTCACACCCTACGGCAGTCTGTCAACTACTGTTACTACAAATATTAACTTTTTTTGGATTTTATTTTTACAATGTAATGATGAATAATGCATCTTCAGACTCGTGTGTCAACCTTACTGCCAACTTTCCTCGTTCAGGAAAAATTGCCACTTATTTCCCAATAAAACTTTGCTCAACTTTAACTGGCTGTACTGGAAAAATGTACTACGAGAGTTTGGCAAGTAACCTTAAAAGTTGGCGCATTTAATAACGATTCCAAAATGGTATAACACTTAGAAGATTACTCGTTAACTTATGCACAATTTTTATTTGAAAAAAAAACTGATGAAAATTTTTCAAAATTTCCTAATTAATCAGCGATTATGAAAAGGCACAAGAACCCTTAAGGATAACTGTTTGCACAACAGTGGGCGTCAAAATGCTGCTGATGATGATTTACCTTTACAGCAAATGCTCAAACTGTTTTCCTTCAGCCGCAATACACGCTCGACATCTTCTTAAAAAAGATCGGGTTATTAAATGAGCGAATCCACGGTTATTAACAAACTCAGCTGCTTCCAATAGTCTTTGCCGTAGTTCAGCTACATTTTGAATCGGCTTGAAATACACTTTTTCTTTTACAGTTCCCCAGTAAAAAAATCTAAAGGATTCAAATCAGGTCATCGGGCTGGCGACGGTATTGTACCAGACCGCCTTATCCATCTGCCTGGAAAGTTTTGATCGAGATACTCTCTCACTGAGAGTGCATAGTGCGCTGGGCAGCCATCATGCTGAAACCACATGTCCCTGTAAATACTCAGTGGCACGTCCACCAATAAATTTTGTACATGATTTTTCAAAAAATCCAAATAAACTTCAGCAGTCAAAGTCTCTGGGAACTCAAACGGACCGATTATTTTACCATTTAAAATTCCTGTACCACATACAGCGTGTTCAACCTCTCCTGCCCCGGGATTATGAGCCCCGAGTTGCTTTTTGTCGCACAACGTTAGAAAGACACAGGAAAGATCCACAGTTCTTTGAAAAAATTTGATGGTCGGATGAGAACACATTTAAGAAAGATGGGTACATGAACCTGCATAAATTACACGAGTGGCACGTAGCAAACCCACATTTGATGAGAGAAGATAAATCTCAATATCGCTTCAAGATAAACCATTGGACAGGAATTTTAAATGGTAAAATAATCGGTCCGTTTGAGTTCCCAGAGACTTTGACTGCTGAGGTTTATTTAGGTTTTTTGCAAAATCATTTAGAAAATTTATTGGAGGACGTGCCACGGAGTATTTACAATGACATGTGGTTTCAGCATGATGGCTGCCCAGCGCACTATGCACTCTCAGTGAGAGAGTATCTCGATCAAAACTTTCCAGGCAGATGGATCAGGCGGTCTGGTACAATACCGTGGCCAGCCCGATCACCTGATTTGAATCCTTTAGATTTTTTTACTGGGGAACTGTAAAAGAAAAAGTGTATTTCAAGCCGATTCAAAATGTAGCTGAGCTACGGCAAAGACTATTGGAAGCAGCTGAGTTTGTTAATAACCGTGGATTCGCTCGTTTAATAACCCGATCTTTTTTAAGATGTCGAGCGTGTATTGCGGCTGAAGGAAAACAGTTTGAGCATTTGCTGTAAAGGTAAATCATCATCAGCAGCATTTTGACGCCCACTGTTGTGCAAACAGTTATCCTTAAGGGTCCTTGTGCGTTTTCATAATCGCTGTTTAATTAGGAAATTTTGAAAAATTTTCATCGGTTTTTCTTCAAATAAAAATTGTGCATAAGTTAACGAGTAATCTTCTAAGTGTTATACCATTTTGGAATCGTTATTAAATGCGCCAACTTTTAAGGTTACTTGCCAAACTCTCGTAGTACATTTTTTTCCAGTACAGCCAGATAAAGTTGAGCAAAGTTTTACTTTGGAATACTTGGTTGGGAAATAAGTGGCAATTTTTCCTGAACGAGAAAAGTTGGCAGTAAGGTTGAGACACCAGTTTGAACATGCATTATTCATCATTACATTGTAAAAATAGAATCCAAAAAAAGTTAATATTTGTAGTAACAGTAGTTGACAGACTGCCGTAGGGTGTGAAATTTATATATTTTTTTCAAAGACCTATAATTTTCAAAACACATACATAAAATTTTTTTAAATATTTTTCTGATAGCTGTTATGGCTTTCCCTATCACCCGGTTTCGGCTTGACGTCGACTTCTGGGACACCCTGTATTGATCTTCTTCAGTACAATGACAATATATTTGTTGTTAGTTTTTTTTTTCATTATCACATTCCCATACAGTGTGTTATTACAATAATCTGAAAGACCCGTAACATGCTGAGATCGTGCGATGTTATCATTCCGAATTTTGATATGCCCAGCATACCCCAGGACCGCCTGGATTAGGGATTCCCGTTCCCAAAAAACGAACGTCCAGTCTTCCAAAACTACAAGCGAGTATGAAGCTATCTGACGTTTTTTTAATACTGGAGTTAAGTGATTCATCTTGACCATACCTACGGATCGCTCTGATAAACAATGTTGAATAGAATGCTAGTCAATGGATGTAGAAGGGCTGATGGAAGAAACTATAATCAACAATCAATGATTAGTGAACCTGTAAAGGTTATTTAAATTAAAGAAAGTTTTTTGCGTCTATGAATCAAACGATTTTGTTACAGACACAAATACTATCACCAAAAGCTAGTGTTATTTATTTTTTTTATACTCCAACTATCACGAAGGCCTAAGGCCTAAACCCATTGGGTACCGTATGGCTATAGGGGGATACAGGGGAAAGGGCGGACGCCACACGGACTCTGGCGAGGGAACACGTGTGCATGCAACATGCACACATTCTGGCTCCGCCTACGAGATCCGCCGGGTGGTACCTCCACGTTCGACAGTCAGAGACCGTCTACCATCTGCGGACAATCACAACATCCATAGCCAAGAGAAAAATGTCTCCTGGGACGGGACTCGAACCCGCACAGCGCACGGCGACTGATCAGGAGACCGAAGAGTCTACTACTGCGGCCACCGCTGCTGCCTATGCCTATTAGTGACTGTAGCCAACATTGCCGTATATAAAAGTTATTCAAATAAAAAATACTTTCATTAGTTATTAGGTATATTTTTTGAGAAATTTTCACATCTAGATTATTTCGCAATACAATCAGAAACCCTATACTTCCTCCCTCCGTTATGTCGGTGAAACTGTTGATCACTTTTAAATTGTCTGCACACTCTCGGAACAAACTCAAAGTTGAAAACTCAATCGTATGTTTTTACAAATGTACGCACCACTTTAACACAAGAGCAACTTCTATTAATCTACTTTGCACAAGCCGAGTCAAGGCTGTGGTATGTAATGTCTTCTTTAGTCAAAAAATAGTTGCAACTTACTATACAGCTGCCAGGAACTTTTTCGTCGTTATAAGATTTTGACGTTGCCTTGCCCATCTATGATATGGCAATATACAGGGTGTTTCAGAAAGTCTTGCCAATATTCCTAGGGTAGAAGGTAAATCCAAAAATAACAAGAACAGTCTTAAAATGCTCCCCTACCCAGATACAGGGTGATGAAGCTTTATTTACGAAATTGGAAAAATATATACAGGGTGGCCCGACCATGTGTGGACGGAATATTGCTCATAAATAAATACATTTTGGGAAAATCTATTTACGGAATGTTATACATGACATTTGAGGGCACATTTATAAAATATTGGCTATTATTCAGGGTATCCCAATTTCGACCTACATATATCAAAGTTGTTATTTTTTCAAAGGAATGCCTCAAATTTTATTGCATATTTGGATAAATCAATTCAAAAGAAGAAAATTGATATGATATACTATGGGGTTTCGATGATTAGCTACTGAGATATAAGGTGTTTTGTCTAGAAAAAAAACCCACTTTTTCAACCCCTCAGTCCGCGATTTTGAAATTTGGAGTGCTGAATTTTGTATCAAAGAAAATTTACACACCTCAGCTTTTATCGTATTTGTTACTTTTTCGAATTATAATTTTTGCTCATACAGGGTGGTCAAAAACGCAAATTGTAGCTTTTCTCAAAAAATTCAAATGCACCACCCTGTATATTTGTGTTTGGATTAAATTTTTTATAAGCTTTTTTTGATACTAGACACATAAGGGTTTTTACGGCTATTCTTTCGATTATTAGCACGTCTTTTTTGGAAAAATAAAAAAATACGATTTTTTAGAAAATAAAAAAAATCAGTCTTTCTTGAAAAAATCTGAAAATCCGATTTTTTTTATTAAATCGTGAGTTCTTTGATTATTAACGGTTTATAGATACTTATTTTATGCCTAAATAATGATCTTTGAAATACTACTATTAATCTACGTTGCACAAGCCGAGTCAAGGCTGTGGTATGTTGTCTTCCTCAGTCAAAAAATAGTTGCAACTCACTATACAGCTGCCAGGAACTTTTTCGTCGTTATAAGATTTTGACGTTGCCTTGCCCATCTATGATATGGCAATATACAGGGTGTTTCAGAAAGTCTTGCCAATATTCCTAAGGTAGAAAGAAAAATCCAAAAATAACAAAAATAGTCTTAGGATACTCCCCTGCCGAGATACAGGGAGATGAAGCTTTATTTACGAAATTGGAAAAATATATACAGGGTGGCCCGACCATGCGTGGATGGAATATTGCACATAAATAAATACATTTTGGGAAAATCTATTTACGGAATGTTATACATGACATTTGAGGGCACATTTATAAAATATTGGCTATTATTCAGGGTATCCCAATTTCGACCTACATATCAAAGTTGTGATTTTTTCAAAGGAATGCCTCAAATTTTAATGCATATTTGGATAAACCAATTCAAAAAAAGAAAATTGATATGATATACTATGGGGTTTCGGTGATTAGCTACTAGATATAAGGTGTTTTGTCTAGAAAAACCCCCCTTTTGTATCAAAAAAAACTTACGCACTTCAGCTTTTATCGTATTGGTTACTTTTTCGAATTATAATTTTTGCTCATACAGGGTGGTCAAAAACTCAAATTGTAGTTTTTCTCAAAAATTTCAAATGCACCACCCTGTATATTTGTGTTTGGATTAGATTTTTTATAAGCTTTTTTTGATACTAGACACATAAGGGTTTTTACGGCTATTTTTTCGGTTATTAGCACGTCTTTTATGGAGCGGCTTAATTCCCTATTCGCATCACCCTTGGAAACAAATAAATGGTTGATTAGTTACAAACTGTGAAAATTAGCTTTGTGAGCATATACCCTTACTGGGTTAGGCAAATAGATTTCAAAAATAAATGGAGCTTGAACGTTTGGGGCCTTTCGACAACAGATTAACAGGTACATAATACTTGAATTTTTTGATCTAGCATTTGCCTTTGCTTTTGGACGATGTCAACTTGCAAACTCGGATGCATATATACTTCCAGCATGATGGCGCACCTGCGCATTATCATAATTGTGTGCGTAACTATTTGGACACCTGGAGTAACAATCGTTGAATCGGTCGTGATGGGGCTATGTCCTGGCCTCCTAGATCACCAGATATGACACCGATGGATTTCTTTCTATGGGGCTACGTTAAGCAAGAGGTTTATAGATATCCACCATCTACCCCGGAAAATATGAAGGAAAGAATTAAGGATGGTTTTCTGAACATAAGGGAATACATGGTGAGGGAAGTGCAACGGTCATTTATCCAAAGACTACGGCTGTGTATTCAACATGGTGGAAATATTTTCGAGCAGTTTTTGTAGATGAGGTTTTGAGTATTGATAGTTGTTTGTTTATGTTGTTATTATAGTTGCTTTTCTCTATTACGCTTGAAGCTGATTTATACTGTTCTGATTGTTATTAGTTTTTACGTCAAATCCGTACTCTTAGTGGCAATATGGAACTAGCCCACTGTTTGTCTTTTGTTTCCATGGATGATGTGATTTTTTTCCTTAACTTTGGTGTGTTGTTCTATCAAAAGCTTAATAACTCAAAATCTAGTGATTTCATCTGAATAAAACCTTATACCAGAAAAAAGCTCATAAAAACTTGAATCCAAACTTGCAAAAATATACAGGGTGATGCATTCAAAATTTTTGAAAAAAGTACAATTTCGTTTTTGACCACCCTGTATGAGCAAAAATGAAAATTCGAAAAAGTAACAAATATGATAAAATCTTAGGTGTGTAAGTTTCTTTTGTTACAAAATTCAGCACTCCAAATTTCAAAATGGCGGATTGAGGGGTTGCCGAAGTGTACGGTTTTTCTACACAAAACACCTTATATCTCAGTAGTTAATTACCAAAACTCCATAGTATGCTATATCAGTCTTCTTCTTTTGAATTGGTTTATCCAAATATGCAATAACATTTGAGGCATTCCATTTCCAACTTTGATATGTAGGGTAAAATTGAGAAACCCTGTATAATTGCCAATATTTTAGAAATATGCCCTCAAATAACATATATAACATGCCATTAATAGACTTTCTTAAAATGTATTTGTTTATGAGTAATATTCCGTCCATACATGGATGGGCCACGCTGTATATCTACCGAGCGGGTAACGATACTGAGATAAGATTTTACACGTTCAGAGACACACTAGAAGCAATAAATAGGCAACGTTTCACGGCCCAAACTAAACCTGGGCTATAGAAACTGGGTACCTGTACCCCTAATAGAAAATATTTTATACGCCACTGGCCTTTCGGAGAAAATAACTGCATGTTATAAAATACCATTCAATTTTCAATAAATTTTGTGTAGTGAAGGATGTTGATTCTATTACTACTAGTTTTTGATATGTTTAGGTTTGAATATTTATAATGAAGTTAAAACGAAAAGTTTGAGTATGAGAGCATTTTTAACTCGTTAAACATTTGATCAGCACGCCTTTAAGTGAGCGGAAATATGAAAGCGTCGAAGGTTTGATATATATTTTATAATTTTGATACCTCCAAAATGTTTTTTAACTACGCCCAAAAACTACCATAAACTCGAGAAACATCGGAAAACAAAGTTTCCTATTTCACATGAAGAAACAAAAGTCACCCCAAAGGAAATCAAGACGCTTCAGGTCCGCACAGCAGGCAGGTCATAAGTCTAACAATCTCCGTATCAGTTTGGTGTATTTTCTGTGTATTATCTAGTTTGTTTAGAACATTTGTTGTGCTAATAAAAATGACATTTTCGAAAATCGTATGCGGTCTTCATCACCAAAACGGTTTTTCAAAAATCGTTAAAAATAACTGAAAAAAACCATCCGTTAAGTGATCAAATGTTTAGGATTAAGAAACGCCCTCACCGTGTACATAAATTTATGAAAATATTAATAATCTGATACAGTTCCAGAAATTCAGTTGCAAAAGTGTGAAAGTCCAATTAAAATGCTTATTCATCAAACCAGCAAATCAATCTCAGATCTAATTCCGATAAGAGTTTTTAATAACTGTATCCTAATCATTCTCGATTTTGTCGCCCACTGAGTCAAGAACAAGTTGTTAGCCGATGGCTTGATACATTTTTTTTGTTACAGATTTCTCAACGTTATTTGCACTTGTGTTGAGCTAGAATGAGGCAGGATTAATTGTACCTTTGTTAAGTTTAGTCAAGGTACTTGTTATCTGTTTATATTAACGATATTTTGAATTGTTCGGAAATGGAGGTGGAAAATTCCAGTTGACATACGGAATACTGTATATACGTTTTTTCTTTTGTTAGAAAGTCCTGTGAATAGCTAGGAATCACTCGGTCATATGACTAGGATGACTTCACGTTTCACGCCTGTGCATAAAGGTATGTATATGCTGTTTTAGTTTCAGTTTTTGGAATCCGTATACGTGGGTTTTTGTTGACCATTCAAGGGTGGTTTTCCGATCTGTCATTTGTTCATTTCAATGATAACATTCTTATTAGAAAAAACTAGAATAAAGCACATGAGAGCACCTTCTTCGTTTCCCACTTGCGTAGTTTAAACTTATGACTTTAGACAATCTCATAATACAGAACCTAGAGAGTTGTTGTTGCTTAAGATTTATTTATCTCTAAGAATTTTCATTGTCCTTGAAATATTCCTTTAATTTTCTTTTAAATATCTTTAAATTACAAGTACAATTTATATCATTATGTAGTTTATTAAATTCAGGCAATCCTTTCTGAAATATTGATTTGCTAGTTACACTACTATTGCAATTTTGTAAATGAAAATCTATATTTCCTCTTGTATAATAATTGTGGTAATGATTATTCAATTAATAATAATAATAATAATGACTTTATTCAAAAGATGATCATAGTATGGCGAAGTTTAGCCATGGCTACTCTACCACTTAACCATACTACAACCAGACATTACAAAACATTAGCATAACAACATGAATCAGTAGCTGTAACGAATGCATTAAAAATATATAATATGAACATATACAAAGAGAAGAAACAAAAGAACAAGATATCGTTCAGCAAAATGAATTTATCACTCAATGTGCTGAGTCCAGAAAGTGCAACTTGACTGTCTTCTTGAAGCGCTGCAAACTTAAGCTCTTAGAGATAGCTGGCAAAGAATTGTATACCTTGACCGCATTATAAGTAAAGGACCTTTCAAAGACCGACGTACGATGTATAGGAATGGAAAGTAGATCATTGTGCCGCAGATTTAGAGTAATTTGGTTTCCACGAGGAATCAACTTACAGAGCAAATAGACGGGGTTACCAGTTTTGAAAATTCTATGCACCAATGAAGCCATAGAGTAGTTGTATAAGCCGTCAACTCTGAGCCACTGTAACTCCTTGATTTTTGAAGAAACGCTACTGTACTTCCTAAGCCCAAATATGAATCTGCAACAGTTGTTCTGAAGCTTCTGCAATTTTGACTTGCAAGCTGAGTCTAGGCATGGGTAAATGAGGACTAAAGAGTAAGCTAAAATTGATAATATGAGGCTTTCACACAACTTTTTACGGGACTTAAAGTTTAGAATATGGCGACTAGAATATAAAAGCTTCATCTTCATATAACTCGACTTCATAATATTATTCACATGTAAGTTAAATCGAAGATCTGAATCAAATATAACACCTAGATTCTTAGCATTATCACAAAATGGAATATCTATGTCGTTGATAAACAAGGAGACCCGATTTGTGATGTTGTAATTTGAATGTCTAGGACAGTATGGTATCGCGGTGCATTTTGATGGATTGATGCGGAGACAGTGTCTATTGCAATACGTTAATACGTTGTCAAGATCTAGGTTAATTTTGTAGGATGCTTCATGTAAGTTGGATTCATTGAAACGAAATGTTAGCTGTGTATCGTCAGCATACATTTGAATGCAACAATGTTCTACACACTCATGCAGATCGAATGTGTATACTAGGAATAAAAGAGGTCCCAGTACTGAACCCTGTGGAACTCCTGATGACAGATACTGTGCATCAGAAGTTCCTTCTATGTAGTGTTCTGGCAAAATATGATTTTTTATTTTGAATATAAAAATAAGAACCAAATATGATATGAAACTTTTATATTCAACCACTGCAATTCTTGTAACATAGATTTCATTTTGGTGTAATTATTTTTATTCAATATTATTCTCATGGCTTTATTTTGCAAGACTTATAATTTTGTGAATACAGCTTCACTGGCAGTGAACAAGATAGTTGAACAATATAGTAAATGCGGTAGAACAATTGTATTATAAACTGTTTTCTTGGAATAGGTACCAAGACTAAATAATGAATTCATAGTGATCCTCTAACTTTAGTTTACTATCAATATATATACAGGGTGTTTTAGTTTATTGTTGCATAACTTTAAGATTCGACAGAACTTTTAAAATTAATGCATAAAGTCTATATAAACATGGATCGAAAAATGCGTGGCTTCCGGGTGTTTAAATTTACTTTCTAAAATAGTTTTTTTTTAAATATTTCGAACAATATTTGATGTAGGGTGAATATCAGGTATTTGGGTTTTTAGTGGTACCTAAGAAAAATTACTCATTTCAGTTTCATATTCATTACCTCTTAAGATTATACTATTTGTGATGCATCTTTGACAGGACCAGATAGTTTTTTGATTTTTAGAGTTTTTACAGCTACCAGGGGAAAATGTGTAGTCAGGGGAGTGACACTATACACAGGGTAGTGACAAACTGAGACAGAAGAGTGACAACTTCTCATGTGACTGATCTTAAAGGACACTTTATAAAAGAATATACGAGTAAATACCAATAGGTAAATAAGTTATTGAAAATAACAAAATCCTACATGTTCTATTCGTCTTTTAAAAAATAACATTTGGATCATCTGAGTGAACCCGGCTCACACAAGAACTAATATAAATAAAAACCACTATAGCTGTTTATACGAGTATCTTGCAACTTAATATAGATAGCGATGTAGGTACCTAATAATAATAATAATAATAATAATAGAAATAAAATTATAAAAACTTAAAACAAAAAATTGACATAATACTTATGGTCAGTCTTTGAATCGCAATCAGTGCTTATAAATAAAAAATGGTAGCTAGCATAAAAATAAAATTAACATAGCTATAACCCGATTTTTTATGAATTCGAGTAGATACTCATTTTTCGAATACAGGTATAGGAGTGTGAATTTATAAAATAATCTATTTCCTCTCATTACTATATTTGGCACCGGCAGTCCTTCTAATACTTTCCAAATTTATGTCGGAAATGTCATCCGATAGATAGTAATTTAGCATTGCTTGAAAACTCATAAAGCCTATAATTTTCGTTCTTCTTAAAGAGAGCAAAATCAACTCCATATTTGCATGAATTACACACAAGCATGTTTCTCTTCTATGAACGTTGGATATACAATCCAAAAAGGTCTCAAACGTCAAAATGAAGTATAACTTATCGGCACTCCTTTGTTTTTAACGAACCGTTCGTGTAAATGCTTCAATGAGTCTAGTAAAACCCTCTTTTGTTTTTTACTTTGTTTTTCGTAATGTAGTCATTTTTTCCTGCGCATAAGCGACTGTTGCAGTCTCCTTCAAAAAAATTTAATTACGTTCTTTATCTTCTCTCTAGTTTCATTCATTCTTGTTCTCCTTGTCACGTCTATCAAACCTCTCCCACAGTGGGTTATCGTTTCAGAGGCTTCATATCAATTTGACTTAAAACATTGTACTTTCTAACAAACCTACCGCTCAATACTTTACGAAACAGTGTCTTCTCATTTTTCTTTTTGGTATGCCTTATATTTTTTTTAGTTGATTTTGAACTACCCTACTGAATGACAGATGCTTTTTAACTTCTTCCACGTTCTCCAGATTACTTGGTTCCGTTTTTTTTTTTAGTAATCGATCCACTTTCGACTTTGGTGACATTTTTAGACTTCTTAGGTGATCTAGTTTCCTTTGAAATCTCTTCACCTTGTTTTTTAATCGATCAATTTAATTTTTTTTTGTTTTTTGATAAGCTCATTTATCCGTTTCCTCTGTTTTTCTGAGGGTCTTTTGGCACCTGAAGCTCTATTGTCCAATATTTGAGGATCGAAGTGTGGATCTTCATGGTCCGAAGGCGGCGGTGACTCTGGATAATTAACAATAGTTTTTTGCCTCACACGATCCCTATATCTTTCAGTTTGCTCTCTCCATATCTTTCTCATAGCTCGCTGTTCCCTATCTGTCAGATCTTTTATACTTCTAACTTGTACTTTCTCCTTCTTTCTGTGATACTTCTCTTTTTCTTTTCCTTTTAACTCAGCATTCTTGATTGGATCATTTTTAATTCGCTGGTCGCGTGGTCTTTCTGCTTGGCGTTTTTTCTCTCGGGTTTGCTTTTTTATAAATTTGCCATTTTAGCGAGTTATGGTTTTTTGGTATCTGAAATTAATGAAATAGTGTCTATACCACATTCAACTTCAAGAGCAGGAAGCAGGCCGCTCAGAGCCGTAAACTGGGCCAGGCAACTTCTTAGGTGCAGCCCGCTGATTGATGTAACAGATTGGTATGAACACTGACAATGAGCGTTTGAGCACTGAATACGGCCCTAGGCGTCTGGCCGTGTCTGGCCCGGCCCCTCATGCCGACCTATTTCAGATCTACTGCCTCTTGAAGTTGAATTTGGTATAGTAGCTACACATCTTATACAAAAAGGTGCCTTTGTATTTCCCCTGGGCAGTGTGTATTTCCCCTGATATAAAAACTGCCAGGGGAGTGACGCCAGGGAAGTGACAAAAACGTGCGTAAGCCCCAAAAAAGCAAGATTTGTTGATTATTATATTATTTTAACGTGATTCATGGCTTTTGTATTCAAAAATCTTATTGTTTTATAAAGTCCCAAAAATGTAACTTTTAAATTCACAAAGATATGCTTACCAGGGGAAATGCTTCACTCACTGGCAAAAGGGTATCGGACGACTGTTAGTGGGCTACTGACGCGACCCTGGTCTTCGTTTTTCAAATTACGATAGTTTCGCACTATCCCTTCTTCATTTACTACTTGCTGCTCAAGGTCAAGTCGCATAGTTGCTATATTTTGATGAATATATGCAATTTGAATTGCGCCAGGTGAGGGTGACACTGTTCTCAGGAACCACTAATAAACGGGATTTTTTACGCATTTATGTATATTTTTAGTGTGTCTTTTTGCGAAAATATGTTATCAGATGTCTTAGGTAATACAAAGAGTATCCGCTTATTGTTATACCAGTACATAATACAGAGATTTGTTGATGTTTGTAGTGAAATTTGGGAATGGAACATACCAGGGGAGTATACATTTTGTTAACTTTCAATCAGATTTTTCCTAAATCTTAATGGTT